AATTACGTGTTCTGGTAGAGAATTCCAGTAATTCACTACTCCGTGCGAGAAACGAAACTCCAGACATAGACGATTTGATCTCGGTTTTTGGACTTTCTTTGAATATCCCCTGAAATGATCAGCCCTAGACGGGAGGAAAAGATAGGACATGTTAGTACCAAGGTCATCGTTCACGATACGATATGCCAATATTAGATCACCCCGTATTCGCCGGTAAGATAACGAAAATAAGTTGAGGTGTCTCAGTCTGTCTTCATAAGATAGGCCAGATAGGCCTTTTACCATCTTGTCCCGCGGCGTTGGACTCGTTCCAACATATCCGCCTCATATTTGAAACAAGGACTCGCTGCTTGAATCCCATATTCCAAATGTGGCCGTACGAAAGTTGGGTATAATAATCTAAACATTTCCCCATCCAGATACCGGAAAGATCAACGAATAGACCATAATACCCTATAGCCTTTTACAGCAGCAGCCTTACAGTGACTGGTTGTTTTGAGATCATTACTTAGTGTGACTCCTAAATCTTTATAGTTTCTTACTTTGGGCAACACTGGTCCACATATTGTGTAGTGATACGAATCATCGTTGTTATTTAATTGCATCACAACACTTTTATTAGGGTTTACTTCTAGTGATCACCCGTCCATCCATGCCACTAATGAGTTAAGATCTTCCTGTAAAACTATTGTCTGACATACTATATATGGGTCTCCAAATCTTTATGTCATCGGCGAAGAGTAGGACGGATGACTTAGCTATAGTTGGTAATCCATTTACATAAAGTACAAAGAGAAGAGGACCTAGGATTGTGCCTTGGAGTACTCCACTTTTTACTGGTTCCCACGATGAGAGAGCCCCATTTACTCTTACCCTTTGTCTCCTGTCACGAAGAAAGTCACTTATCCAGTCTATGACTGTATAATGAATCCCAAAACTTTCCTGTTTTAATTTAAGACCAGAATGGGAAACCTTGTCAAAGGTTTTACTTAGATCTATGAAAATCACATCTACAGGAATATTTCAATTTTTACATCAGCCCAATCTTCTCTTGCAATGAGAAGATTTGTCAAACATGATAGGCCTTTCCGAAAACCATGTTGTTACTTGGACAAAAGATCATGTCTTTCCACGTAGTTTATAACAGCCATCCTAATAATTTTTTTCATTAGTTTTACAACTGCACTAGTTAAGCTGACGGGTCGATAGTTACTAACTAAATCCCTACTCCCAGCCTTATACACCGGACTGATTATTGCGTCTTTCCAGTCTCTGGGCAATCTGGACTGCCGCAGAGACATATCAAACAGTATCGCTAAGGGGTTCAGCAATAACATCTGAGAGGGCTTTCATAATCCGAGGATGAATATCATCAGGACCACTAGACTTATCAGGTTTGGGATGCTGAAGTAGCCTTAAAACAGTTTCTTTCTTAATAACTACAGGGTCCATCAACAAGTCGCCACAATCACAATGAGTAGGTAATCGTTCCTCAATATTGGTAGAAAAAACTTTGCTGAAATATTCCGAAAAAGCGGAAGCTTTTTCGATATCATTTCTTGCCAAACTTAACGGATTTTCTTGTATCAAAAGTGATGGTATTCCATCACTTCTCTGAGTTCGCCTCTTTATATACGAGAATAACCGTTTTGGACTATGTTTGCAATCCCTAACCAATTGTTTTTCGTATGACCGTCTAGTCCTACTAATTAACGCTTTACAAGTATTTCTAATCTTACAATAACTAGATCTGTACTGTATTAAGCCAGTAGAGATGAACATGTTCCAGTGTTTTTTTCTACGTCTACGAAGTTTCTTAACTTCTTTATTTATCCACGGTGGACTATTGTTCGGTCTACGTGGCATCAAGTATGGTATGAACGGGGACGTGACTGCACTAAACTTGCCTTTAAATACAGACCACGCCTCGTCAACTGATGAGCTAGTATCTACTGACCAATCTATCTTAGTAGCACAATCCTGAATGGCTGGTATGTTAGCTCTCCATATGTTTGGGCGAGGCTTAATCTGATCGTATATCATATCGCTAGCTCTAAACGTGAATGATAAAACAGCGTGATCGCTATTTACTAACGGGGGAAGACTATTTAGGTTGGCAATATCCTCAGTCTCATGGGTAATTACCAAGTCCAACAAAGAAGAACCTTGGTTTACACCAAAACGTGTAGGTTTGAATACATGTTGTACTAATGCGTGTTCTATTACTGTTTCCAAGAGCCTGCTATCAAATGAGTTTATAGAGCATTTCGTGGTCATCTCAGTCCAACTAATGTCAGGTGCATTAAAGTCTCCTAATATCAGGAATCTGTTATTTGCACTCTATAGCCGAATGTACTCTAAAATAAAGTCATCAGCTAAGCAGATTGGGCTGCGATAGATGACACCGAGTGCAAATGTACAACATCCGACAGTGAGCTCACAGCTAATGACTTCACTAATAATAATAATAATAATAATAATAATAATCGAAGTCATGGACTAACCAAGTTTCCGTCACAGCTACAATGAGTGGCCTTAATTTGTCCACTAATGCTCCTAGCTCGTAGAATTTATGTCTTAGACTACGGGCGTTGGCATATAAAACTCCTAGGGAGAACGACCTATCCACACAGGCCTTGGTAGCATTCGCTTCCAAGACCTGACTATTCGAAAACCCACCAATCGGAGATTTTCTTCACCGTTCCGTCGACGGGTTTCTAGTTCAGCTAGTGCCGTCTTCCTTTTTATTCTATCTTCAAGAGACACATCCGGTCTAATTCGAATGTCAGAGTTATCGTGACTTCGAGCGTTACTTAGCAGAAGATTACGTTGTTTCTCCGACCCTAAGATTACCTTAAGGAGTCTACACGGTCGGGGTAGAACACTGTCATCGGCCCTTTTACCTATTCTAACTAATTTTTTGACCTGAACACCTTTAGTGTTATCTAGCAATATGCTACGGATATATTCTCCGAGCCTCTCTAAGTCATGGGTGTGTCTAACCTTAGGATCTGGATCGTTAGACGCTGGCAATTTACTCACAATAATATTCAATGATATTAAATTCCTCTCAGTCGCACTAGGACGATGTTCTGCCGTTCTATCAGAGTGCGATAGTGCATTGAGTGACTCAGACTGTGAGTTCCTTAATGACTTGTCAACCAAGTGTGCTTTATCGTTAGCTTTTTTTCCTTTTCTTTTCCTCCTTACTGCGGTCCATTTTTCATCATTCAGGACAGTTGCATCGGGACTATTGGGGTTGGTGACGGTTCTATCCGGGTCCTCAATTTCTACTAAAGATGCATGATTACTCATGTCAATACCATGTGGTGATTTACTCCTCGTTTGTTGTAACGGAAGTTTCACTTTGTCGTTAATTGGAGTAGGTTGTTCAGCGCGTTTTGTAACAGCACTTACAACACTGACACAGTCTTCACTGTCAGTACTTGCGTTACTAGCGCACCCACTATCGTTTTTTTACAGGCTAGAGCCAATAGGCTCATAGCCTCCTGGATTAATGTCGTCTTGTTGGTACATCAGAACATACAAAGCCAGTGCGAGTTAGGCTTAGAGCATCTTTTGTATGCAGCTGGACTGAGACGGGTACACATCTTGTGTATCCACTTTCTGCATTCATCACACTGCACCCGTTCATCTACGGGGAATAAACAGTTCGGCTGTCCACATTTGAATTAACTGCCAACCATTGTAATCAGATTAGGTTTAAAACACAATATGATCACAATAATAACACAAGTGTCAGAGTATATGCAAAAGAAGGAACCACGAGACAAAGTTTTCAATGAAATTTCAAATCTTAACTGAATAAATTCAAGTTAAAGTAGACCAAGAATGATTTTGATGCGACAAATACACAAAAGCAACGATAATCACAACAAGTACGAAAGTCACTGCCCTTTTTGAAACGCGCGCGGATTTTTTTAAATTGTAGTGATGATACAACAGATATTCTAGTTTTGCAACTAGCAACCAGTAGTATCTTCTATAATCGTTCGTTCCCAGTCGGATAGAAACCAGAAGTCAGACGAGGAGAGACAGGAAAGATATATTTGATTCGTTACCAATATATCGAGAGACTTCGTTCTTATCTGGCTATTGTAACGTAGGAGCTGTGTCCCACGCCGTGTTGCAACGTGATCTGGTACGGATGCATGACCGAAAGCCTTCAGTTAAACAAGTCCACTTAGACAACGTGGTCAGCATCCAATGTCGAACACTTAATGAGCTATTGATTTTGGGGAATTATTTACAGCTACAGTAAGGCTGTTGCTGAAAAAAGCTATACAGTATTATGGTCTATCCGTAGATTTTTCCAGTATATAGATGAGGAAATTTTTAGATTATTATACCCGACTTTCGTGCGACCACATTTGGAATATGGGATTCAAGCAGTGTAAAGAACTGTAAGGATTAATATAGGTCTACAGACCTCCTACCCATACCACCGAACACTATTCTTACTTATTCTTTTACTAGCTCAGTCGAGTGAGCACATCATTCCCTTTAAATGAAACTGTAGACCCGATGCCGTACTCTACTATCAAGTTACAAGCATGGAGAAATCATCTTGTTTATACGAGCTCTCTTAAGAATATTGGTTATTGATTAGACAGCGCCAACGACACTGGTACTTCTTGTGTAGGTCATATTGTTTATTGTCCGTGATCCAAATAACTCTGTTTTCTTTTGTATTTTTCCCTCGCGCTTGTTCGTAAATAAACAATATTTTAGTATTTACAAGAGATATGACAATTTTTCCGATGGTATAGACTGGTTAGCCAACGTCTGGGCACTGACCCATGGCCATGGGTCAGTGAAACGCTAGTTAATTCAACCGACACGTGGTTTATGAATAAGCAATTAAGAAATTCAACCTGTAGTTTAAAAGTTAGATAGTTTGGCGTAAATTTGGGGGAGTGTAGACAATTCGGTGAACAATTAGACGTAATGTAAACATGTCGACAATTACTTTGATGTTGATGTGTGAATTAATAAATTTCTACTTCATGGGAGATATTTAGGCGAATTGCTTCAATATTTCCCCAGAGAAGCGAGATTACCTTCAGTCGCAATGTCACCTGAATTAGCACCAAATTTCCCTAGCTGATGTTGCCCGTATTTTCCCAAAGGCCGTATTTATTTCCCTATTTTTGTGTGATTAGAGATCAGTTCTTACTGGTTTGTCCTATAAAAAAAAGCAATATGAATACTAAAAGCTTGCTCAAGACTTGTTGGGAAACATTGTTTGAAGAACTAGTAAGATCTTGAAGTATCAGTTAAGTGGTAAGTATTCAGTGCAGCAATATATTCCAAGTATTACGAAAATGTACATATGTACTCATCTCCAGATGGCTTCAGAAATTATTTCCTCAGCTTAAAGATACAAGTCGACTGTCTTGAGTTCAGGATTGGGTGTTCGGAAATGTTAGTGCTGTCATGCTCATGGTTTAGATATGGTTAGAGAACCAGAATTACATATGACTTCTGTCCTGTTTTTCTCCTTTCTAATACTTGAGAACTTGGTAGTTGTCATAACTCAGGATAAGTCGTAATGGTGCAGATGCACTTTCTGTCTTTCTCTAGATTTTGAGTCCCAGTATGCGTTCGCACCTGCTTTGTTATTCTTTTCAACGTTCAGTGCTACCACTAGTGTCCCGAGTTTTGGTATTCGTCTTTTGTGCTTTATATGTGCTGATCTGGTCCCACGACTTGGACTAAGTCTTATTTGGACCAGGATCTACATTAGTTATTACTAACGGGCTGCTACTCTGCATCTTTCTTTGCTAACTTGTTTAATTTCACTCGCTCTTTTCATTTTGTCGGTCTTCTCTCTGAGTTCCTCGGTTGCAGCGTCGAAGTTAAACTTGTTAAACTTTCACAGCGAATAGTGTAATCAATTCGGTCGTATAATATATTTCATCACATTACTCGCCTAATTTCCTTGTTGATTTATTTAGAAGTACTACTAAAACCTATCAGTACGAAAAATCAAATAGCTCCTATCCAAATAAATGAAAAATACACATGTACAAGCCTTTGATGCATTCGATGCGCTAATGATTGAAATAGTCAAATATTCGAATTCCGTTCCAAGTGATGTATTGTTTTTTTTCTGATAATTCCAATTCCTCTGATATTTGAAAACTCCAGGATTCGGATATTCGTTTTCTTGAATCCCTTGGTGTAAACGTAAGCGAAAAGTTAATCGAAAAGTTTGTGTATTTGTTTTCTAATATTTTATATCAAGAGCTACAAAAGATCATGCCAGGTTTACTAACGAGTTAGATATTGTTAAATATGTATGCACAGAATTTTGGTCATCCGTATACCACAAACAAGTTGATACACTGAAAACCAATTACCAAGTATGGTGACGTTCCTACTTATAAATTAAATAGGACGTTTACGTTCTCACTGTTAATGATTTTCAGCCTTTATTGAAATTCGAAAGTATCCCAGAAAATATATCAGAAATCCCAAAGGTAAACTTATGAATACTTTTATTTTGTTTTCAGCATCTGGCGTTCCCTTCAGGACTTTTAAAAGGAGCTTTATGTAGTCTAGGATTGAATTGTGTTGTAGCAGCAGATTGTGAACAACTCCCTACATGTAAGTATGGCTATAACGAAATCACTCTCAGTAACAGGTAAATTCACAGTTACAGTGCTTTCTTACAGAGGTATAAGCTGAAATTGTGAACATGTTTTGGCATTTGTGGATTAAACTGGCCTACTTATATCTGGTTTTTTATTGAACTGAGTTTTCTAATGTAATTGGATTTTTGATTGAATTTTATTCTTGCAGTAAACTTGGGTGGCATCACACAACTTTATCTTTTTGAGTAACATTCTGAAGTACGAGAAGTAATGTAATTTGCTCATCATATCATAATACAATACAAAATGACTTATCAGGTACTATAAATTTGTCTTATGGTTGTATACTTGTTCGATTTTTCGTGATATGATCAGATGAAAAGTCATTGTTAGGGAAATCAGTACTAATGAACTTACTTATATAAATCATACCAATGGTCTTGTGTGTTCAAAGTTGAGCATTTGATCTTCTAGATTGTCGATGAGCTTCCGTTTTTAATTTTCATATTCATAACTAGGGTTATGAATATACACTGGGATTTTTCCAAAGTTGGTTGCCATTGTTATTAGCATTACGCAGATAATAAGAATATTTCCAGAGCTGGTAATATATGAAGAGCATCAATCGTTCATTATTTATCGGTGGGCTTTTCTAGGTAGTAGATTTAGCACCATTCTGTATTCTGAGATTCGAATTTACGAATTCAATGATAGCGTAATCTTCAGGTTTCATGAATTTGATATCCTTCCCACTGTTCTTAAAGCGGAAGACTTTTGATAATAATTAATGTTCACAAGTAGACAACTCCCATTTATGCTGTTATCTATGTTCCATAACCAGGGCAACCAACAACATTTACTTAAACGATTATCACTTATGCTCAGTGTGATCTATCTTTGCCTAATTATCATTCATGAAATGGTATCCAGTTTGTAAGCATGACTTTCTTATTGATTGTATTTTATTGCATCCTTCATTATTGTTCGAGTTAAAGAAATAGAGTTCGAGTTTCACCTATCTTTGACTATAGCTACGGCAGGACTGGTTTGACAGTTTTGTGGACTTGCTCAAACCTATTGGGGAAATAGGATCTAAACCTACTGGTATCTTTTCCAACATTTTCTGTCTGCTAATTTCAGAGACGTATCACCAATTGTAACCATTTACCGAAACATAAAATATCTGAACATATTGAGTGATGACTGGCAAATCCAATGGTCGATCGTGTGCATTATCGGATGCAGAAAAACCAACAGCCAAAATTTAATAAGTAGGAATCCGTCGAGCTACTTTATTATAAAATGATTAAATGTATATCTTAGTCTCTAGGCGCTTAGTGGGTTGAATTTTTCTAAAATTTGCTTCTATCTAGATTTAATAAATAGTGGGTGACTCAAAGGTGTTCAAAATAACTGAAAAACAGCGAACACCAGTTTTACTTCTCTTTCAATATGTTACTGTCATCAGACGTTTCTAAATTGACTGTGTACAGAAAAGATACATGATCAACTCCTTTATATTGTAAATATAATTATAATCAGATGACTTTATCACTTAGTCTTATTTATAATTATTCACCAATGTTCATATATCGAAATGACTTTGGTCCTAATTTTATCGATTAATATGTGGTCATTCATTTTTATTATTATTGGTAATTGTGACCGCTTTTTTGTATAACTGGTTTCTTAGCAATTTGTAATACAATGTTTATTATCGTATTGTATCTCTCACTATGTTTAGTTTTTATCTATTCTGAGCATCTCATTTTGATAAACTAAGAGTGTCAACTCTATGTTTTTGACCATATTGTTCTTCACAACTATATGCTGTAACTTACGAGAGCCCTTGAAATACAATGAATTTTTGCAAATCTTGTTTTTCTTGCTTTATTCTAATATATCAAAGGAGAAGAATGTACAAAATATCAACCAGTCGGTCATAATTTCATCGATGTAGTTGTGTCAGGGTGTATGTTAACTAAGTTGAGGAAAATATAATTGTTTGGTGGGACTAGTTGAAAAACAACTAGGCATCAGTCCTTGACGTCACTGATTTCTAGTCTGAGCCATGTTGGTAGATACAGACTACTTGGTTGGGTTCCGCGCAACTATCGTAACCAATGGTTGAAGACTGTGTGACATGGCTCAGAATCGATCACAATGGTGTAGGTTTATACACTTTTTGTCTTTTTTTAAACCGTGAGACTAGAATTACTTTATACATTTCTTCCTACGAACCAATTCTTTTGAGATGGTGGAGATTTGTAGCTCAGGTGGGTGATTTTGATTCTCTGAGCTCCAGCTCAGAGAACAAACCAACATCAAGAACTAATTCTTTCTCTATATATCATATCCTTATATGCAATCTTTTTTTATATATTACTACCACCGAAGTAACTACTATGAATTTGGTGTTCATCTTGTGCCAATGAGGTACTACAACTTGGACCGATGCATATATGTGCCTGGTCGTATGTTGTACTTGACTGGCTGCCTATTTAAGACCTTTTTCGGTGAAAATAAATGACAGTTGAATATCTTTATTCACAAGCTAAATAGGTGTAAGATCTGATCATACTACAGTAAATAGATGTGTTGGACATAGATTTTAGTTTACAGGAGATTGTTATGTGTAGCAAATAGAGATTCATCATACCTCTTAAACAGACTTTAATAACTAAGACAGCATGTGACTAGTAAGCCATTTTTACCTTTCTAATAACTCTCCGAAACACGCATACAGGATCCTAATGTGATCATTCACTTGACCTCACCTCTCCAAAACGGATAGCCGACGAGATACTCCCTACGTCTATCTGGCGACCCGATGGCTAGTTCTTGTGGGTGTAGATGTAGCCCTTAGTACGGGAGTAGAACAAGCACTATTAGAGTGACTTTAATGCCCAGGTAGGCAGCTTACATCAAACAGAAAGACATTTATGTGGGTATTTTAGTATCCCGGCTCAGTGAACAGATAATGGTGACCGTCTGTTGCAACTATGCTTAGACAATCGTTTATTTTTAGCAAACACTAATTTTAAGCATAAGGAGAGACATCGTCTAACATTCCAACCCCCTGCACCAAACCAACGATGGACTCAAATAGACCATATTGCCATCAGTTATTGTTGGAGAGGCTCGGTAGAAAACTGTCGCCCATTCTAGGTCAACAAGTGAGTCTCCTGGTAGAAGTCCAACTCCTCTAAATTTGGATGAGGAATGTGTTATTTCTAAAAGCACGTCTACGATAAAGTTGAACAAGGATGGAGAGAGTGGACAGCCCTGATGAACACCACTTGAGGTAATCAATTCTGATGACAGTTCGCCATAAGCTCTAACTCGACCAGTTGTGTTCGAGTAGAGAGCCTTTATGAGGTTAATGTACTTCGTTGGTATTCCTTTCAGTGACAAACACTGCCATACAACCGCACGATCAACGGAGTCAAATGCCACCTTAAGGTCGAGAAATACTACTATTTTGGGACGTCTGAATGTGTGTCTATGTTCTAGGACCTGACGTAGAGTGAATATCTGGTCTATACAACCACGTACAGGTCGAAAACCAGCCTGGTTTTCTCTAGTCTTCTCTTCACGAGCTTTGGTTAGGCGTCCAAGTATTATTGAAGCTAATATTTTAGACACTATATTAGTCAAACTGATTCCTCTGTGATTGTCACAAGAGGACTTTTGTCCTTTCTTATAGATTGGCACAATCAGTGATTGGGACCAGTCAGATGGAATTACGTCCAGTTCCCAGATTCTACCTAAGAACTCAGTCAATCTCGCTGCTATTACTAGACCACCATCCTTAAAAATCTCAGGGGTCAACCTGTCAGGGCCTGCTGCTCTCCCTCGCTTCAGATTTCCTATAGCTTTTTCGATCTCGTGAAGAGTTGGTGGACTTACATTAACTTTCCATCAGGACGACTGGGAATCGTGGGTAACTGAAGTGTGGCTGAAGGCCAGTTGGACTGATCCCTAAAGTGTTCTGCCCATAGATCCAATCTCCTGGATTGAGAATGAATGATATATCCATCCTTTTCCGAGACAGTTTCGTTATCAGCTGGAATCCCAAAGTCGGTTTCCTTAACAAGTCTGAACAGTTTTCTGCTGTTACTTATTGACACTGCCTTTTCCATCTCTCTTGCTTTCGCTACTGATCACTATTCGCGATCACTGCGTAGGCTTCTTGTTAGTCTGCGGTTGAGCTGACTCCGCCCTTCGTTATGTTCAGAGCCAGGTGGGTTGAGTTTTCGAGCATCTATCAGTGCGGTAGATGCTGTCGAGATCCATTGTTTCTCTCTAACCTTATGCTTTACCTTACTAGCAGATATCACTGCTGTTTCCACAGCTTTACGGATGTCATTCCACCCTGCTTCGGAGTAGGTACAACTTACATATCTGCCTAACTGTTTTTCTAGTTGTTCCTGAAATATATTCTCAGCTTGCCTATCATTAGGTAGAGCTCTAAGAGGTTTCCTTGTTGCGTCTTTTCTGTGTCCAGTAAAACGCAGACAGATACGTGCTCGCATTAGAGCATCAACCGAATCTAAACATGTGCTCCAGAATGAACGACAGTCTTCTTTCGAGCCCCTCCATCGGTGGCTGATAGCGATGTGATTTAATTGGGTCCAACGTTGTGGAGAATTCGGGGGTCGCCAAGTCAAAAGATGTTTTTCCTTATGCTTAAAGTTATTATTTTCAAGAAACAGGCGGTTATCTGAGCATAGCTGCGACAGATGGTCGCCATTATCTGTCCTTTGATCCACGACACCATAAGATCCACCCAAGTTCCTTTCGCCAGACACTATTACTACACCAGAGCGCCTAGCTTTTCAGAAAATGTCGGAAAGCTTTCCGTAAAACCTATCCTTTACATCATCTGAGCTGCAGTTTATGGGAGAGTAGGCAGATACGACGGAGGGGCAACGACGAGTTTCCCTATCTCTCCGAGTCCTTACTGTTCCGTCTATTCGGACAGTGCACAAACGACCGTCTACTGGGATCCAGTCTAAAAGAGCTAATCCTGCCCTAGGACTCAATGCTATACTTACGCCAACGAGGCCACGGAGAGCAGCATCACGGCTCCCAGATACACGAAGCGTTAGTCGAGTTGGTTCTTTATTATGACATGGTGAGGTCAAATGAATGACGCTACTCGGATCCTGTATGTGCGTTTCAAAGACACAGCACACATCGATGGTGCGAGATTCTAAAGTCCTATCTAGGGAAGCCTGTTATACTATTTGGCACAGTGTTAGGACGTTAAAAGCTCCTACACATAGTTTAGAGCGTGGTTTCAGGAGACCAGGAATAACGTTCCGTGTACTCGAATCATTTGTCCTAGCGGTGTGAGGTGAAAGAGACGCGAGAAGGGTTAGTCGTGGAGATAAGAGAGTTATTAGGTGTAGGGAGGATTTAAATGTGACCAACTTGTTCTCGTGTGTTGTTACGAGTACGAGGGCTGATATCATTTCCCGGCTGTCCATATCGTGGAAAGGTATTTCTTGAGGGACCTGAAAAGGAAGTTCCATTAATGTTGGTCTTAACTGTCTGGGAGCGTGACCGCAGATCCCAAGGGACAACTGTTTGAAGCCGGTCGCACAAGGCCTCTTTGTGGGAGTGTTTTGACGTGTTAGCTCCGTTCTTCAAAGGGCCTTACCGTCGGAGACGAAAATCCGTGAGGAGAGGTGAGGCGTGATATTTTTAGGGTCGACCTTTCCTAGCCCCTTTCTTCCTTGTGAGAAGGCAAAAGCGCTGCTGATGCAGGTTGTCCGATGGGAACACCTTACTGCTGTCACACCTCTCTACAGTCAGCAGTACAACTTCCCTCTTAGACCTTGAGTTGATGCTTTTAGTCATACCGTTCTCCCATCGACCTGTCTGGCATGGTAGAACATACAGGAACATATGTTGAAGTCAATATATCTCGGTTGGATCATCATGATAGGCAAGGCCGACCACCACGTCAAGGTAGCAGTTGAGAATCGATCACGATGGTGTAGGTGTATAGACTCTCTGTCTTCCCTTAAACTATGAGATTGAAATTTCCTCATATCTTTCTTGCTGTGCTATATCTTTATATACAACCTATCTTTTATATATATTACCACCACTAAATTAACTACTATGAATCCGGTGTTCACCTTGTTGTGCTAACGAGGTATGGCAACTTGGACCAATGCATATATGTGCCTGGTTGTGCGTAGTAGCTGACTGACTTAAATGAAACATCGTTCGTCATTCATTATGGAGTCAAATTGTGGGGCACAAAATATGTACTAACAAAATTGAAGTGGGATTTTAATAACGACGTAAAGTCTGAAATCAGTTTATTTGCATCATAGGGTATTGAGTTTAAAATTTCGCATCAGGTACTGAATTTATTTTAAAAATACTGAGAACCACTGAACAGTTGTTTTGTTCTGGTATAAGACCTCAGTAGTCTACATCTATGGCCTCATCAGGGGTCAAATATAAGACCTTCAGGGATGTAAGTGTACAGTTATTTCAGATCTCATATTCATGCCTTCCAGTTACATACCACTAGTTGTTTTTGGCTGGACTATAACTAATCCAATACAACTTGGACTTTCTCTAGATGATTACCCAATGTAATATGTCTTACAATTCATATAACTTAGCATGTAAGTACTGTTTTGTGTTGAAGCGTACGAAACCCTGTCTTCTGTTGTAGAAAACTTCAAATCCATATTTTGAAACTCTTG